TAGGAAACATATCTCCCCAAAATAAAAACCTACAGCAAAATGCTACCTAAGAAGAATAAAACAAGGATGATGTCCAGTTGCAATATTTCTCTTAACTTTGTAATGGAGTGTCTACCTAGAGCAGTAGAGCAAAACAAAAAACAAGAAGGAGGGGGGGGGGAGAGAGAGAAGGTATAAATGCAAGGGTTGAAAAGAGGAAAAAACCCCAAAATTGTCATTAATTGCAGATGATATGAGAGAGTTTAGCAAGATTGCTGGACTTAATGTAGTAAAATTAATTATTTTAACTGTATACCAGAAACAGTAAGAAAATGAAAAACATTTTAATTCTTTATACTGGAAAAAAAAAAGAAATACAATTGATTCTTGTTATTCACAGTAATTATGTTCCATAAAGTTGCCATGAACACTGAATTAGCAAACACTGAATCATGTTCCTGGGGGAAATACAGGTGCCAGCAAGCCCCTGGTTACATTTTCATCAACCGATCAATACATAACCTTGCTTTATTTGTGTTTCCATATAAAGATACCTTATTTCATATATATGTTAATGTGTTGTTGATCCATTAACATTGATCTCACAGCTAACAATACTAAAATGCCTGAACAAAGTTTAATGCATATGCTTAGGAACACTAGACAGAACTTTAGCACTAAGCTTGGAGGCCATTTTAAACAGCAAAATCATCAACAAAAGCACAAAAATGCAAGGAAATGTGGCACTAAATAAGACACGTGTTTCTAGTTTAATAGCTGAAACAAGATGCCAGGACATCACCTTGCTTAACCTCATCTGGAACATACACATCGGCCAACTCAAAATTTTCACTACTCCACATGTCCAAGAATGACTGCAAAAGCACAAGTATTCCTGTTGGGGTTACAAATAAACTTTAGCAAATGAATTTGCAAATACAGAGTCTGCGATTAATGAGGATCAACTAGAAATTTTAAAAGATGTGGTAGGATCTCTGTAGAGAAAACTACTAAACATAATTGAGAAACGTATAAAACCTAAGTAAATATTTGCGGATAGGGAAGACTCAGTATTTAACAATGTCAGTTCTTCCCAAATTGATTTTATGCATCCAATGCCATCTTAATGAAGATCTCAGGAGGATTCCCGCCCCCCATTTTACAAATTGACTCAATTTTATATAGCAGTATAGAGAGTTCCCACCCCACCCCCCCAAAACAAGAGAGAGAGAATGAGAGAGAGC